TATTAAATAAAATATTTTTTGGATTTTTTTATATGAAAATAATAATAATAATAATATTAATAAGAATATAAGTAAAGAAAAATAAAAATGAAATAAAATATAAAAATGAAGTCAGGGGGTGAAAAGCTTAATTGAGGTGTTTTGTAGTAAAACAATCTTGGTTTGGGCCCAGGGCCTGTTTTTGTTAGTCAGAATAATAATATTAAAAAAGAACAGTTGGGCCTGCGTGATGGTCAATAAGCAGGGGGTGTGTGAGTAAGCTGGAAGTTGGGCCAGGATATGGTTTTTGGATTGGTTGTTACAGAAAGGTGAATGGGGGTGCAAAAATGGGGGGGGGGGGGGTGTGCGAGTGGAAAGGGATTGGACCCTGAGCTGGGCTTAACCAATTATGAAGAAGAAGAAAACAAAAACAATAATAAACTAACTCACTCCATTAATCAGAAATCACTCTCTCTCTCTCTCTCTCTCTCTCTCTCTCTCTCTTGTTTCTCAATTCTCTCTCGCTCTTTGTGGAATTCTCCCACCGGAGAAGAGAACCACGCCGCATCGGAAATCGCCTCACGACCGTGACGGCGGTGGCAGACTTTCGATCATAAATTTTTTTTACCTTATTTGTTTTGTTTTCCTCTTCTGAGTATTAATATACGATTGGTTTTTGCAGACATGGTATGGTTTTGTGTAGATCTAAACGGGAAAAGGACGAATCCTAATGGTTTTGATTCGGATTTGGAAGCTTGTTTTGGGTGAGATCTTTCATCTTCCTTTCTCTTTTTGATTCTGAAGGGTATGGTTTTGCGAAAATGATGTCAAAAATTAGGTTTTTCTATTTGTTTTGATACCTTTCTGTATCTTGAAGGTTTTGATGGTTGGTATGACTCTGTATAATTTTCTTTTTGTCTTCTCCTTTTATGAATGGTTGAAAACAATTTGAGGGGTTTTGGTTTGCGAAAATGATGAGAAATTTTAGGTTAGGGTTTGTGGCTCGGTTTTGTGCTTCTGTATATTTTTGTTTTTCTTTGTTTACAGAACAATGACAATTTTTTATTGTTATTGTTGTGCCCGTCCTTGCTTTTCTCTTTCTGTCTCCCTTTATTTTGTAAGCTATGGCTCTGTTTATACTATGGGCTTGCTTGCTCGTTTTGGCTTACCTCTGTAAAAGCTTTGAGACTGACTTGAAGGAACATGCCTTGTCACTTTGATTTTTGATACATCAATATTGTTGTACTTTGCTATGCTGACTTTGCTTGCTTTATGGTTGTACTTGCTTGCTTTAGGGCTGTACTTACTTACTGACTTTTGACTTTGTACAGACTTTGTACTTCGTTGCTTATTGTTCTATGCTTTGTATTGTTTACTTGGCTGACTTTGTGATTTTCTGCTATGAACCAAACACCTTTGTTTGTTTTGAGATTTGTAGCAAAGCTAAGCCTGTGATTGAATTCTGACTTTGATTGAAACAACAAATATGAGGCTTTTTGTTTGCGGTAAACATGATGTTAATTTTGATTTTTTTCCTTGATTTCTTCTCTATCTTTTATGAACTAAACTTTGTGATTTACAAAATATGTCTTTAGGCCAATGATAGGACAATGTTTGTTTGAGGCCTTTGTTGGGCTTGAATTCTGATTTGTGAATTCTGATTTCTTTGAATCTTTGTCTATTGGGCTGGAAATGTGATTCTGTTTTGCACCTCTTTGAATTTATTCATTGTGAACCAAGTTAAATTGTGATTTGAAATGATTTTAGGCCCATGATTAAATCCATTTTTGTACGAGGCTGTTTGGCACAAAAACACGTTTGAAAAACATCCTTTTTCTGATTCCATAAACCAACCCTAATGATGAGTTTTAAAATATTTTTCAATTCTTTGCTTATTTTCATGTTTATGTTTACTAACAAAACTTTTCTTTGTGTTTCATGTATTGATGTGTTGACACGAGCTTGGAAAGATGATGAAGACTTTGAAGCTGAAACCGAAACAATGGTCGTGGGAAACTCGAATTTTGAAGAAGAATCCTTTTTTATGTATCTTTTTTAGAACAAATAGGGGACTTTATGATTCAAATTTGTAAACTTGTAATAAATTTTGGTGAGTGGCATGTGAATTCAGGAATTCATTCCTGCATTATGCTTGAAAAAAATGAACACTTGGAATATTGTTGCATTCTTGTAATTAATGAAGTTTGAGGATTTGAGACCTTCTCTTTCTGCCATAGTGTTTTGAAATATTTGAAAGAATTTCTGTTGAAACATAAACCATTGAACTTAGCATTCACTCTTTCCCTTTGAACTTGAATTCAACTTATTATTTATTTCAAACGAACAAAACTTCCCTCTTTGGAATATGACTATCTTAGCAAATCGAACTAAAACAAATCACTTTTAATGAATACTCACAATAATGAATTTGCCATGATCCAAATCTTCAATCTCCATCAATAAATAACAATCTTCAAGATAACAACAAAAAGCCTTGCCGTCAACAAATCTCTTGGCATTTATATTTCAATTCAAACAAAGGTATCTTGATTTAACTAGTAGTTGATGCTTCGAAGAATCCTTCGATGAATGCCTCGTTTGAAACATGGAGATGAGAGTGACCATGAGAATCTTTAGCCCACTGAATCTTAGTTGATAATTGAAAGTCATTCGAACAAGACTTAGGAGAACAATGCTTCAAAGACTTTACAAAGGATGACGTCACCCACTTCAATAATAAAACCCATGCGCCAGAGCTAATAGATTATGACTCATCCCAAAATACTTGCAAGTTCTGAATCCTTTGATGAAACAAAGAATCAGCTTGAGATGTTACGAGGCCTGAGAAGCCTTGGTAGCCTAAGATGATTGAAAATCCTAGGAGTACGGTGGGACATTTTTTGACTGAAAGAAGAGGACAAATTTTGAGGTACAACATTATGGTATGCACAAGACTCGATATTATTCATGTTGTTGGTGTTGTTAATCAGTTTCTCTCTAATCCTGGTAAAGATCATTGACAAGTAGTGAAATGGATTCTCAAATATCTTAGAGGTATTTTCAGAATGTGCTTATGCTTTGGGAGAGGTGGTCACGTGTTAGATGGCTACACAAATGCATATATGATTGTGGATATTGATTCTAGAAATTTTATTTCTAGATATATGATGACTTTTGGAGGGGGAACGAAGTCTTGACTAACAATGTTACAAAAGTGTGTTGCTTTATCTATTGTCAAGGTTGAGTATATTACAACAACCGAAGCATCTAAAGAACTTATGTAGATGAAGAAATTTCTACTAGAGTTGGGTGTTGAGAAAGAAAAATTTATGTTGTCTGTGACAGTCAAGTTCAATTCATCTTGGTGAGAATCTGACGTTTTATTTCAGATCAAAGCACATTGATCAGGTACAGTATCATTAGATACGAGATGTATTGGAGATAAAGTTGTTTTCACTTGAGAAGAATCCATACTGACGATAATGATTTAGATATGATGACAAAGATTTTCTCTATAACAAAGATGATGAACTGAAGAAAGAAGACGGACATGGTGGAGTAATTATTTTCCACTTGAGTCGTGAGAGAGAAATTTATAAGATGAATTAACTCTCAATGTGGGTTCCATCATTTATTTATAAAAAAAGAAAAAAAGAAATTTTTTTGTTTTGAATTGTTTCATTTGGGCCAAACTAAATTAACATGTACAAAAATTTAGAATTATATAAATATTTGTATTTCTATAAAGTCTATTTTAGAAAATTTGAATTTCAAAATTTCAAAATTTCAAAATTTCAAAATTCAAAAGAATTTTGATGGAAAGAACTATAAGGCAACATTTTTCATGTCATTAACAGTTTTCTTATGTGAAATGATTCCTGATGCATCTGTTTTAGGAAAATTAAAGCTCTTATTGCTGAACTGATTCTTGTGATTATGTGGACTTTGATTTTCCTTCAAAGTACTCAAGGCCCCTTTTCACTCAATGCAAAGCTTGCTTACATTGGTCTAACTGGCGGAATCCATACAATAGATTAAGGTTTCTCCTCTATCTCATATTATAAGCAAATTTCACTTTTATAAATTTATTAAATAATTAACGTATCTGATCTATATATAAATCAAATATATTAATTATTCAATAAATTTATAAAAGTGAAATTTGTTTATAATATAAAATGGATATAATACATTTGTTTGGTTCAATATTCATTCTAAGAGAAATTTTAGATCATAAAATTACAGTGAAAAGAAACAAAATCTCCGTACACCATTGCTCAATGTTGATTACTGTTTTACTTATTGAATAGAAAGTTACTATGGTTCAACATTGTTTAATATTATCAAATTAATTTGCTTTATCATTGGTAATCATGAGGTGAAATTATAAATTAAAATTGCATGAAAATTGTTCTTGAGGGATTATAGCCAGTTTTTGTAATTAAATTTTATTTGAATATAATTAGAATGTATTAGTAACAAACAAAGTATGAGTCAGTTAGTCAGTTAATTGGTTTAACAATATCCAAACACATTTTCTAACTAACTAACTAACTTTTTGCTTCCTTTTCATATTCATATTTCATTCATATATATTTAGATATCATGACTTGAAAATTCTCACAATTACATTCTCATCATTCCATATTCATTCAACACACGGTTACTTTCTTTCTTCACTCATTCACTCCCACAGAATCGAGAGTTCTCCATAAGGCAAGTGCTACTGCAAACTTCATCATCTTGAGTTCTTCTCAGTTCTAACTACATATTTATCATGAACAACTCACATTCTTTTATTTCTTTACACAGAAGAAGAAGAAGAAAGAAACTAAATTCTCAGTCTCACATTGAGCAAGGTTAGCTCTATTTCAAAATATTATGAAATTGTGCTATTTCAAATTATATATCTTTCTTGTATAGAAAAGGAGATAATGATTTTCTTGTTATATATGTAACAGATCGAAGTGGTACAATTAATATAATTAATTCAATTGATATATCATCAATTGTGTAGAAAGATGGTTGGTATAACTGATGACAAAGGTAAACAAGTAATGTTATGTGATAGTGAAGATAGTGAAGATGATGATTTTCCACCAACCACCGATGAAAGAATCATAAGAGCACTTGTTGTGCACCATGATGATCACATTGTAAAGACTCATGAAGTTATGTTGAATACACTTGATGTGGAAACTCATTCAGTGAAAACTAGCCAAGAAGCTATGAAATTAATTTGTGTTGAGGAAGTCTACGATTTAATTCTCCTTGCTAGGTATTTACCTATCATTGATGGAGTTCAGGTAACTAAATTTGTCTCTATATATTAATTTCTTGCGGCATATGCATAATAGATACTGATAATGAGATTCATTCATGTGTTTTATGCAGATGACGAAGATGCTGCGAGACATGGAGTATCCAACAACGATTGTTGGCGTGACGCGCCTCCTTACAGAATCACAGCGGGAAGATTTTTTTAGTGCAGGGCTAGATGGTTGCTTTGATAACGAGAGACCCTTGACAGATAAAACGCTTGCAGTCATTGTTGAAAGTATTCCCCGTCGCCAAACCTGGAAGAAAAGAAATATTTATAGTACAATTTACCAATCTTTTTGACGTCCTAGTGTTCCTTCTGCATGGCCTTTTCAGGATGATCCATTCATGTTGTACAAAAATAAGCACTTGGTTGGGGTCCTTTTATCTTTTAAGTTTTCTCTGTTCAACTTTCCTACAGTTGTAATTAACTTTGAAATAATTGGTTGTGAGTATTGTTGGCTGTGATTTGTATGTTACTTGACAGTATAGTATATTCTCATCTAATTATATGGTTTCTGTTAATGATGAATGAGGAGACTATACAAATTGTTATATTAATTATTTCTAAAATCTGATACTTATAAATGTATTTTTAGGCTTTGCCACAACCTTAATCTTTTGACATGAAAAATATGAAGTTTTGGAAACTTGAAGTGCAGTGGTTAAAGAGCACCTAAAGATATGTATTATTATTGCCATAATTTAGACCAAAATTTTTAAGGGATGAAAACAGTTGATATCTGACTTACTTATTTCTATATATTTTAAAATAGAGAAAATTTTAAGAGTAACATGAGAATCAAGACTAACATGACAATTCAGCCGGTCATGATTAAGATCACCATGGAGGAGATGACAACAATGGCCTTGGAAATATTAGAAATAGTGAAAAGAGAAAGTCGTTAGGGTTTCCATTAGGATTACAATATAATATAAGGTTTACTAAGTTAATAATATTTTTAATTTAATTATAATAAAAGTTGATTGTATATTATCTAACATATTCTCTCAAATTTACTATGTATGAAGCATTGAGAGTTTGTCAATCAAGAAACAAAAATGTTTGATGGAATGAGTTTTTGTCAACAACTCAACAATATGTGATCTGGAAGAAACAAATAGCAAAGTAATGGTGTCATAATGAAAGTAATGACGAGTGAGATGACAATCAATCTTAATGTGTTTTGCGTGTTCCTGAAAATTGAGTTATGGGCAATTTGAATGACACTCTTATTATCACAATACATAGGAGTCGATCTAGAAAGAGAGACACCCATATCAGAGTGAAATCAATGCTGCTAAACTATTTTAGCACAGTGGTTGAAGCCATTGCACAATACTATGCTTCTATAGAAGAGCAAGAGATATCTTTTTTTTACTCTTTCAAGAGATGAGAGAGTCTTAAAAAAAGATATAAAAATCTGATAGACTTACGATCATTAGGATCACCAACCTAATCAGCATCAGAGTAAGCACACAATTCTAAGGAAGAGGTTGACGGGAATAAGAGACTCTGAAATTGCGTTCCTCGGAGATAACTGAGAATACGAAGTACACCTGCCCACTATATCATAGTAGGAGAAACCACAAAGTGACTCACAACATGCATTGTATAACCAATATCATGTCTAGTAATAGTAAGGTACACCAAACTTCATACCAAAGTACGATACACGATGAGATTTGGTAGAATAACTCCATCAAAAGAAGTATATTTAACATTTAGCTCAAGACGGCTATTTGTTGCCCAAGTATCAGATAAACGAGCTTGTTCAAGAATGTTTGAAATGTACTTGGATTGAGATATAAGATATCCTCTAGGGAGTAAGCAACTTCAATCCCTAAAAAATAACTTAGAAGGCCTAAATCCTTCATCTCAAACTGCTTATATAACTCTAACTTCAACTTATTAATCCCATAATCCTCACTTGTAATAATCATATCATCAACATACAAGAAAAGTATAATACGACCATAAGAAGTGAACCTGACAAATAAAACAGAGTCATGATCACTAGGGTGAAATCTAAGAGATGTAATTACAGTAGAAAACTTCTCAAACCAAGCTTGTGAGGCTTATTTCAAACCATATATGGCTTTATTTAACTTACACACTTCCCCTTGATTATGAGAAACACTTTGAGAAGGAATCATATAAATTTCCTCATGAAGATTTCCATTCAAAAATGCATTTTTTGCATCAATTTGAGAAATATACCATTGAAGAATAAATGCAACATGAATAAGGGTATGAATATGGGTTATCTTGGCCACAAGAGCAAAAGTTTCTTCATAATTCATACCATATTGTTGAGAAAATTCCTTAGCAACAAGACATGATTTATATCGCTCAACTATCCCATCCGATTTGGTTTTGATCTTGTATACCCAATGAGACCCAATAACACATTTTCTTAGTGGAAGAGGTACTGAGTCCCAAGTATTTATCTTGTGCAAGGAAGAAAGTTCCTCTGTCATAACATGTTGTCAAAAAGGATCAAGTATGGCTTCTTTATAAGAATGGCTCAGGCGAATTATGAATAAAGGTTAGAAAATAACAAAAGAAGTAGAATAAGTAGAATAAGTAGAATAAACAAAATCATGAAATTTAGTAGAATTACAATCACGAAAAAGATGATGGAGAGGAGGAGAGGAAGGAGGAGGTGGTAGTGTTGTTGTAGGTGAAGTAGGATCAACAACTGCAAGAAATTGTTGGAACTGTGGGGACAAAAGAGACATATGTATCTGGAGTAACAACAATATCAACCTTGTAGTTCTCAATATTACAATCACTAGAAATATCATCATCAAAGGAAAATGATCAATCACTACTACGTAAAAACACATTGAACCTCACATGCAAAGGGGTTTTAAACCTCGGTTAAATAGGCGAGGTAACAAACAATGTCATGAAAACTTGCCACTTTACCCATCGGTTACTCAAAAACCAAGGAGATAGATGAAAATGTCATCAGTTCGAACCCCAACAACAACCGTTTTATATTTTCAAAACCAGCGTCACATACCTCTCAGATTCTGTTCAAAAAGCGGGGGGAAAGATATATTTAAAAAAACAAATTACATTGTTTACACATAATATTAAATTACATTGTTTACATATAAATTTAAATACAAACATCTGATTCATCATTGTCACTGTTATTCTTGGAGAAGAATAAATCTGGATCCAATTTCTGAAATAACATAAAAAAAGTTGGATACATGACATAAAATTCTGTTCCAGATTGTAAGTTCTCTAGTTTTAAGGATTGTCATTAATTTTTATAAAACAAATAATACAATAATATGTTAGATAGGATGTATTAACTTGCTAACAGGAACAGGTTGAGCAAGAAGTCCTATCTTATGTTAGGACATGTTGAGTTGAAGAGTTTCAACACCTGGAACAACATGACGAATAAAATGTCTTATGAAGGAGCATACAACATCGCGCCTGAGCTGAAGTGGATAGTTAGATTTTGTTATGATTTAATTGATGTAGAATATTATGGAAAATATTATGAAACATTATAGAATGCTGATTTAAAGGTCAATAAGAATCAATCAGAATATTAAAGAATATAAAGTTTCTAAATTTGGAGATATTTAGGAAGATTTGATTGAAGACCTTGTTTGTAGTAGAAGTTACTGTTGTTTGTAACAACAAAAAAGCTATTATTTAAGGGTCCAAATCTAGTTGGATATTGTAACACCCCAATTCTACCCGACAATTATATAAGATCAGAGTTGCAAAATTTACAACTTAACAATTCAAGATGCTATAATATCAAATTAAAACAACAACATTCATTACATATACATAACACATTACACTTGGATGAACCAACAGAAACATAAATTAATCCTTTGAAACCAACAACTTTCATAGCTACGCAGCAGAAATCATAATATCCAACTTAAAAGGAAATAACATCTTGTCCAACTGGAAACAACTTTAAAAACAATATAGTACTTAGTAAATCAATTTAAAATTCAGCAACGAAAGTAATAACAACAATAAAGCAACAAGCGTTCATCCCCCTGAGTGTTACGTATTAGAATGATATCACCGACTCGAACTACTGAAGGTAGACAATCTTCACTCTGGGTTACCTGTATGTTACCGACATATGGCAACACTCAAACAGACGGGGTGAGATATCAAACAATATAATCGAATGTATGATAAATAATATATTAGAACTAGATCATACAAAATCACCACTTCATAGCTTTTAAACGAAATCCATTACAACCAAGTCATCAACATAATATCACAACTAATTCATCATTACAACAACTCAAGATGCAACATAGAATGTGAATCATTACGATGCAAATGCATGTGGTACCAATCAGAGCAAAAGTCCCAACTTAATAATCTTGCCAACTAACAGAGGCAACAACAAGGCATAAGCCTTCAACTTTATATTTGCCAATTCAGGCCAACTTGATAGGATATGTATGTGACAACATGATTAAAAACAACAACAACAATAGCAACATATAACAACATTGGCATAAGCATACAATTCAATAATTGTCAATTGTAGAGGCAATACAACATGAATCATCACCACCTATAACTTCAACGATTAAAAGCAACAATATCACAACAACTTATATACATACCGATACTATTATCAACAAAGTCTTATTAATTTAATTCCACTGAAATATTCCATTGACCATTTGTTTTCTTTAGCTGAATCAATGAAGCTATTATTTTCTGACACTAATTTATTTGTATTGCTATTTTAAATTATAGAGGTTTTGTTGTTATTACTAGCCTACTACTACTGTTAAGGTCATCCTGTTAAATACTTACTAACTATATAATCCAGTCCAATTATCTAGTTCACTACTCTTCTATATAAACCAGTTCTACCATTTTTGTATTTAATCTCTGCTATTAACCAATTAATAGGATAAGGTAACCGACACATAGGAACATAGCAGGCAAAAGAAAACTGAATACATACATTTAAGGTGTGCCCCTCGTCACCCAAGTGTGCCCCCGGCACAAACTAAAACAACCATGTTGCTCGCCATGAAGTTGTGTCGCTCGGCACACTCCTCTCCATACCATGCCGTCTGGCACGCTCGTGTTCCCCTTGACACATCCCTTCACCTTATGTCATCCGACACAACACTTGTGCCCCTCGGCACAGGATGTTTCTCACGCAGCTTCTTCACAGACTTACTAATTCAAAAATAGAATTTTCCAATCTTCCTTTGGTTAACATTATATTCACAACAACATGACACAACACATTATTACATCGACATGGAAACTTAAC